TCTTGGGAAATCCGATAATTTCAAGGTTTTCTAAAGATCCTTCTCATTTATAAACAAAAATTGCTTTGTAACCTTAAAAACAATAATATGCAAAATAAACAATCTACATTCTTGTGATTAGTTACTGTGATAATGGAGATCAGTTAGTTTACAGCACTTCACAGTTTTAATGCTTTGTTGTACTGATACCTGTTGAGCACTATTGATGAAGAAAGATACGGTACTCATGTCTGCATCATACCACATAACATGCTTCAGTAAAAAAAAAATTTTCCTTAAAGGATTTTGCATAATCAGTGAGGTCTTATGTAGCTAATGAGTAAGGGTCATTGATGCTTAAGTAATACTTGTATTCTATAAAATTCCTTTTGTGAGACTTACCACCAAGAACTGAAAAGCATTTCAGAACAACACAATACAAATACAGTATCTGTACTGTATGAAGACACAATGCTTAACAATGCATTTGAAATCTTAATAACAGAATGTGATGCAGATATGGGTGTTGGTACTAACACTGTAACGCTAAATGATTAACCTTCGAATATCAGGTCACGACTTTTTTATCTTCAATATCATACATTTACTCTATAACTACAAAATTGGTCGATGGCTCTGTAGTACAGTATTTATTATTTTATTAAAAAAAAACCTCTACAATGGCTCACAATAAGTAATTATATAAACATCTTTAAATTAGGAACAAAAACAACATTCTTTGGCACAAACTTTTTTTTGCAAATTAGTACCAGTAAGTGAAATAAAATGTTTAAAAAATAAATATATAAATTACTATACGTATTAAATAAAATGTGTTGAATGCATGATGCTACAAGAAAATGCCAAATATAAAATATAATGACAGGAAAACAAATAAGACTGACGAAACAATGAGAGAAATACTGTAAAAGTACAGTACAGTACAGTACTAGATATATATACTATATATACAGGGGTGCAGTGCTGCCGGAGCTCACCAGAGCGCCGCTCCGGCACCTCTGTTTTGATCAATCAATCAATCAATATCGCCGACGCCTTGTTCCCTCCCGGGAACTCCCCAATAGGGGGTGGCAATGGCAGAAATGTCTCCAGGCCATTTTATCCTTGCACACCTCACTTGATCTCTCAAACACTCTTCCTCCCCTTCCCGCTCTCTCTTCAACAAACTCTCTAACTCTTTTCTCCGAGGTGGCAATTGGTCTACCCTCCCAACATTCCCCTCTCTCTTGCTATCATAAACTTTTTGTCAGCCTGTTTTCAAGCATCCTCGGCACATGTCCATACCACCTAAGTGTATTCCTCTTCTTCCACTCCACCACACCACACCACACTTCACACATGATGTTATAGTAAGCTCTATATGTTACTATAAATCTATATCAATCAATCAACTTTATTTTGCATTAATAATACATATACAAAACCGAATATATCCTCATATAATTAAGCTCTCCTTCAGATCAGCTTACATTTTATGACTTATCAATATTGCAGAAAGACTTTGATATCAGGTGAACTTAAAAACAGTACTTCCTTGCATAAGAACTATAGATATGTGACCAATATCGAAAGGATAAGCACATTAGACTACTACTAGATCATATATATATATATATATATATATATATATATATATATATATATATATATATATATATATATATATAAAGGGATGATGGCAGAAATATGAATGAGGAAAATTAAGGATAGACCAGCCAGGGGAAATGAGAGAATGAGATGAATGATGGAAAGTAAAGAGCTGGGCAGTACCTAGCGAGATGCAAAATCCGGGAAAACTGATAAGGACTCCCTTGAAATATTTGGAGGAGGAAATTTTCGCCAACTCTCAAACAAGAGGATGACACATTTATTAATACTGTACTGTATACCTCAATAACTATGGGTGGGTTAAGTATTTTTTAGAAACTTTAGTTCTATTAATATCTTGGGAAAGATGCCAAGTTTACACTATACACTACTGTTATCAGTCACCACAGAGTCATTACTGCACCTGTCCACCATACCTATAAGACTACATTTTAATATTTTGTCGATACATTTGCACCCGTATAGAGGCTAAGACGCTAGGGCACTAGTTCTCTAATACTCTTACCAACCACCATATAGTATCTACACTATACTGTACATAAGTGACCCTGGTACATTTCTCTTCATATCTACATTTACGCATCAATATTAGAATACAGGGACTGTACTGGTATCACATGAGAATTACTCTACGGTAATGTACAGTATTTCAAAATTAAACTTGTGCTGTATTCAGATTTTTGGATCTAAAAAGGTGCAAAAACTGACATGTAGATACAATCACCCAACTTATTAAGACAGCCATAAATTAATGCTGTACAGGAATGAATTAACTAAAACTCATTTAATACTCGTACAACACAACCACCCAGATAAATCAAATAGATTTTCACCTTTTGTTACCAAAAAGGATTTATGGGATATCTAACAGTCAAATTCTTAAAATGAGGTAACAAGTACTAAGACTGGAAAGAATGAGGATTCAATGTTCATACTAGTGTGCATCTTTTGTTAAGACATTACGTTTCTTTCTCCAACGTGACTCGTTAACAACAATGTCCCTGTACAGGTACATGACTTACAAGATCATTGTACTGGATACAAGATAACAATAAGTACACTACTACAGCCTCCCAGCTTTAAATGTTTTGTATATCCAAAAATAGATGTCATTAAATAATTTACATTATTTTAAAGTCATCACTCTGTATAAAATGTGAATCTATATTCCTACATCACCGAACAATGTTCATTTCAAATCACTGATTATGAAACTAGGTGAAAAAAAAACAATGGGATATAAATTTAAAAGGTTACATAAACACCGAATGGGCTGATTTGTTCACAAATTCATCTAAACGCCACTTACATCACCACCACACAGCTATCCACCAACAATATTCCCGACGTGAAGGAAATAACCGTAATTTACTATAAGAATGGCAACAGGGCGTCGGCATACTGACAAAGGCTGAGTTACCTGAGATACAGCATCACACACCATCATGCCCACGCCACACACACTGACTGCCCTCAACTTCAAATGTGGTAAATTCCCATCCATATATACAGAATATTCCTCACCTCTTGTTAACGTATCAAACACTTCATTTATATCCGCCGTGCCAAAGCGAGTCAAGAGATTTTAGGACAAAAATGCCATGTTTAACCTCGTCTACCCCGCGTTAATGGACAAAAGGCCAGGATAATTTAAATAAAATTCTTACCTCCGGAGGTGCCTCCACTGTCAGTGTACATTGGTGTTCTGGTCAACCCCGCTGCCAGACTCACTGTGGTACAGATTAATATCAATACAGATTTTCCCATCATTCTGGCACAACACAAAGTTTGTGTAGAGTCACAGCATTAGCAACACAGGGTGAGAAGAGAGCGCATAATGTCAACCACGCGACGGTCACCGACACACTGACGCTCCCTGCTGGTTGGCTCACCCTCACCTCCCGCTGTTGCCAACGCTCTCTCTATTACTATAACCTCACCGGGTAAACCTCACCGGGTACACCACACCGGATTCATAATGAGGATCCGGATTCACTCAACTCACAAGTACTCCATCCAAGAAAACCTACAGGAATTTTTTTTTTAAAGATTCATAATTATTTAGCCGAATGTTCTTAACCCTGGGGTTTTCTCCTTGCGACCGACCCTGAGTCACATTCAGTATTTGATTATTAATACTGTAATAACTTAACAGTTAATGATGCTTGTGTAGTTAGACTAGTTCATTTATTGTAAGGATTATCATTCCTGACAAAAAAATAATCATCAAATTACCAACATATCACAGAACAAAGACTAAAAAGTAACTCTTTGTTAGCATTTACAATAAGAAATAACCTATTGTTCCATTAAACAAGTGTTTACCAGTTGGTTGTTCCACAAATCTAATGTTTACCCGAGTTGCGTTATTAATTGCAGCAGACCGTTTTATATCATCTTTTACAGTAAAATTTTTATTACGCTTCATAATCAGAATAAATTATAGACACCCTGTACAGTACATGCAGCAGAAACAGTGATGCAGCCTTTCAGCCACAATATCTCATAGAACATTGTAGGATTACCTGAACTATCCTCAAGATTTCCCAAAATGGTCAAACAAACCATTTAGCGGCCATGCTGCCATCATTCATTTTGGCGTATTGTCGGAAATTTGAAGTGCGGTACAGGTACTTCTATCAGTAACGCAATTCATAAATCTTTTTCTACATCCATACTACCCTTCCCCACTATACTCTCTTTATTGCTGCAATTCTTTCCATAATAACTTTACTATATGTTTGTTCAGGTACTATCAAATTCATGCCTCCATAATTCTCATTTTCTTTCATATCACCTTCATAGTAAGCAATTATACACGCTCTCTTCCATCACAAATAGCAGTCATTAGTCTCTACATTTAGCAGTCATTCAAAAGATACTCGTCTCGCTTATTTAATACTTATGTTTTTGCTTTCTTGTTAAATATCTATATATCTGTTCTGACAGTTTCATGAATGTTTTTAACTACCCCAAGGTGTATTCCCCCTACAGATAATTCCATCTTATTGTGAACGAAAGTCGTTAGGACTCTTGAGTGTCATTCCTAGAAAACGTAGATGTATGAGAGGTTCTTTCATCATAAAATCACTAACTCATTGGACGAAGGAACTACTGTATAATGCATTACAGTCACCTCAAAAAGTACTTAATTTTCCATCGCTACAATTTGAAATGATCCAAGTGCATCATCATACTCAAGTTGGTACACCTGCTCACCATATCAGCAACAGCTTTGATTATGTTAGGGAAATTACAACCCTGCCTAACCAGCCAAGAATATGCTTGGAATTTCTACATGTGTTCAGCGGTGGGAATTACAAATTTGAGTACACCATTCCTTATTGTGGATAGGAAATTTTTATTTAAATCACTGGAAATTAAAACACTAATAAAAAATGATATTTATTTTCATTAGATGTGAAGCCAGTTGTTCTTTTTAATGCCAATAGTCGAGAATTCCTAAAATAAAAAAAAATAAAAAAAAATTGTCATGGTACTTTACAAAATAAGGTAATGTACAAAACATTTGTACTGGTTTTCATACCACAATTTCATTATCAACTGCTTTAGGTCACTACTTATAATTATCCTTTACCTTACGTGTCAATGATCATGAGATGAAGACCAAATCCCTTAATTAAACAATTACCATCCAGAGAATTGAATAACTATCATATTCAAATTTATCCGTCTGCAAGGACCTGACCATTGAGTGGAACTATAAATAACTTAACTTACTGTACGTACATAACATAACCTGTTCAAGCCTGTAAGTACCAAGTTATGCTTGTGTGCACTACTTGAAAATCTGTTCAACCTACTCGGACTATGTTCTCTTCATCATGTGGCACCACTGAAGCCACCAGATATTCCAACTAAAACTTAAAGTTGTGGACATCTATACATTATACAATTTGACAAAACCATGATGTTCCTGAGCAACTGCCCAAGTAGGCCACAGTCCAATTTAATCCACATGACTGGAAACCAGTCCTCAAAGACAGCAATTTTAATGGCAAATATTAATTAGGCTGGGGTCTACCGAGTTGTTAAATTTGACCTGCAATGAGTTTCCTGTGGTATACTTTGAGGAATTATAGAAAACACCTACACAGAACATCTCTACGTAAACAGCAAATGCACAAGCAAAATACAGACAAAATAGCCTTAAATATGTAATGGCAATTTCTAATGCTGTACTTAATGTAGAATGATTATAGTGTCTTGTTACATTCATCTGGTTCATCCCTACCACGTCACACTATTTAGATCTGGTACAACAAATTCTTTAGTTAATTTGAAATAAAATCATTTAATTACATAACACAAATTATATATTTATGTAGAACATTACAGTATATGAAATATTCAATCAGTCACGAGGTAATGAATATAATAAACTCAAACCTGTCTGATAACCTTTCCTGGCATCAGTGTGTGTGTGTGTGCGCAGAGGACAAGTGTTTATTGTATACCTATTTAATTAGGGGTTTCAAGTTCAATGTTAGGCTACCTTATAATTTTAAGTCCATCCAAATGGACACTCAAGTCTAGTACATAAAAATTTGATCAATACCTTCGTGCTGTTAAGTAATGATCATTAGAAGCTCATGTTGTCAAACATCATAAAATTACTTAGTCTAGTGTCTACACTTCTCATTATTTCTCTATATTTAGTCATTTAATCACTATTACTGCTTTAACTTCTCCATAAAATACTCAATATTTTCCATCATTTACACACTCGCCTGTTTCTCGATTTCTATTACGTTTATTTATTTTCAGTATGTGCATTAAGAGGGGAGAGTAACCCCTTTTGCCCTGGGCTCTCACACAAGCTGCCCAGCAATGTACCAGCTACTCATACGAGTGCTGGCATTAAACAGCCAGTATGCACAATACTCAGGACACTATTTATGGCAACTAATATGTTGTTCTTGCTTGTTTATAACATTCTCATTAAGTTGTCAACAGGATGCTAAGGTGGTGATTTGTATTAACTTAACATTTAACTTTTTAAGAAGAATACAAAAAACACATTTGCATGGATTTAAATATATTGTACAGTACATTAAAACCTCTAAAGACAGCAAATTTTTTGGGTCTGGATCTTATGGGTTCAATGTTATACTTATGTAGTATGTTTTAACATCATTATTTATTAAGAATAACCTTAAGCTCAACCTAGTTAGTATGCTAACCTAGTACAAAATAGCAAAAATATGGTACTGTGTGTTATTGTACAAATTTCTTATGAATTGTGTAAGTTTCTCACCCCTGGGTTAAAAAAAAACTTCAGTTCTCTCTGGTTGATAGGGTTAAACAAAGGCTACAGTGGTAGTAACCGCTTACATGGGATATACTGTATGTGTTGTCAACAGCACAAACCTGTTAATAGTCGACACCAATTGTGTAGCTCAACAGCTTGAATATACTGTACATCAACTCAATACCGCCCACGTTTCATATCACCAGCATCTCCACCAGCTGTGGCCTCTCTCTTTGACCCCTGTGGGTATTGCTGTTGTTGCTGCTGCTGCTGTGGAGGAGGTTGTTGTGGATGCTGTTGGTTTTGTTGCTGCTGTTGTGGCTGTTGGTTCGGTTGCTGCTGCTGCTGTTGTGGCGTTTGCTGCGGCTGGTCATTTGAACCACCACTACCACCTTGATAACCACTACCGCGCATAGCCTGGTACCGCTCCTCCTGCAAGGCCTGCTGATACCGCTCTTCCTGCATTCTCTGATAACGTTCCTCCTGCAGAGCTGCTTGGTATCGCTCCTCCCTCATTGACTCATAACGATCACCATAGCGGTCATCTTGTGAGCTCTGGTAGCGATCCTAAAAGGACAGGGGAAAACAATGGCTTAGGCTTCACACACACACACACATATATATAACTTCAGCAATGGACTTGTTACGTGGAAAGCGTAGTTTTATAATGAAGAGGAGAACCAGGGTAAACACAAACATCTTGAAGTAGGGCTTCGTTTAATTGCTAACGTTTCGGAAATAATCCTTTTCCATCATCAGAGCCTAAAAAGTTTTGAAAAAGTTTAAAAATACAGGTGATATACAATAAAAACATAATATTATACGAAAATTTACCTATGATAAACTTAAAAATTTAAAAAGAGACCAATCCACTTCAAAACCGACAAAAATGACGAGAGACCTACATACAAAGCTAAAGTCAGGAAATAAAAAGTATGAAATAAAATGTACAGAGGGGGGGGGGTATTACCTTGATTCAGACGAGCCTTAATGTGAAAAACATAATTCACTAGAGGCCATATCACAAAGCGATGGCTTTTCTTTGTACTGGTGTAATGCTTAACGACCGAACTAAATTTGCCCCCATTCTAGACGATTTATTCAGGGTAATTCTTAAGTATGAGGACAAGATTAACAGATTTCTTCGTAAACTTAGATCTAAACCAGGTATCCTGTACGGTCTACCAAAGGTACACAAGGATGAGTGTCCCTTACGCCCTATATTGTCTGCCCTTGGCACCTTCAACTATAATCTGTCTAAATTCCTCGTTCCCATACTGTCACCAATCACCATTAATCAATACTCTGTTAAGGAGCTAACTAGCATCTCATTCAACAACTGTGTTATGGCTAGCTTTGATATACAGTCTCTATTTACCAACATCCCTCTTGCCGAAACTATTGACATATGTACAGATGAACTGTTCTCAAATACTGACATAATTGATGGATTCAATGAACCACAATTTAAAGAATTTTTAAAACTGGCTGTAAATGATTGTTTGTTTTTATTTAATAACAAAGCTTATTAACAATGTGATGGTGTTGCTATGGGTTCACCTTTAGGTCCCACGTTGGCCAACGCTTTCCTGTCACCACGAGAAGCTTTGGCTTACCAAATGTCCCCCCCAATTTAAGCCTTTGTTCTATCGTCGGTATGTTGATGACACTTTTAATTTTCAGATCACTTGATCACGTCCCTATGTTCCTAAATTATTTAAATTCGAAACATGGCAACATCAAATTTACTTGTGAATTGGAAAAGGAAAATATTCTTCCATTTCTTGATGTTAATACCCACTGTCTTCATAAGTTTCGAGACAGCCTTATACAGAAAACCAACTTTCACTGGTTTGAGTTCAAAATTTTCATCTTTTATTCCTCTTAATTACAAACGTAATCTAGTACGTACTCTCTTACCAACAGAGCCTTCAATATATGTTCTAGCTATTTCCACTTGGATATTGAACTAAAATACATAAAGGAACTACTCTTTAACAATGGTTTCCTTAAGAGATTTACAGACACTTATATTGGCAAAACGCTTAATAGGTTTTTTAGTCCCACACAGACTCAAACCCACACTGTCCCTAAATATTCTATCTATTTCACCATCCCATACACAGGCCCACTCAGTTTCACCCTTAGAAATAAACTTAAGAATCTTTTCGATGAATTCTATCCACAAATTTCTCTTAGACTAATCTTTAAAATTAAAGACACCATACCCACACACCTGCAATCCTCAGTTGTTTATCAATTTACGTGTGCTAGCTGTAGGGCAGCATATATAGGTAAAATTAATAGATATTTGATAACTCGCATCCATGAACACTTGGGCCATTCCATTCGAACAGGCCATTTAATAACACAACCACCACATTCAGCTATTCGTAACCACGCCCACCAGCATGACCACCCGTTTTCGCCATCTGACTTCTCAGTTCTTGGCAAGAGCGACTGTGATACAGACCTCCTCATTATGGAAGCATTACACCAGTACAAAGAAAACCCATCGCTTTGTGATAGGGCCTCTAGTGAATTGTAATGTTTTTCACATTAAGGCTCGTCTGAATCAAGGTAATACCCCTCTGTACATTTTATTTCATACTTTTTATTTCCTGACTTTAGCTTTGTGTGTAGGTCTCTCGTCATTTTTGTCGGTTTTGAAGTGGATTGCTCTTTTTTAAAATTTTTAAGTTTATCACAGGAAATTTTTCGTATAATATTATGTTTTTATTGTATATCACCTGTATTTTTAAACTTTTTCAAAACTTTTTAGGCTCTGATGATGGAAAAGGATTATTTCCGAAACGTTAGCAATTAAACGAAGCCCTTTCTTCAAGATGTTTGTGTTTACCCTGGTTCTCCTCTTCATTATATATATATATATATATATATATATATATATATATATATATATATATATATATATATATATATATATATATATATATATATATATATATATATATATATATATATATATATATATTCAAATAAAGGGCAAACATTAATGATGTGGTCATATGAAACTAAAAAGTACTATACCATTCCATAACTGCCCTGGCGACCATATGAGGATCTTCCCATCTGCATTGCTTCCTGTTCACGGGCCATCAGCTCTGTAAACAAATGTCAAGAAAAATTTAGTCTAATCTATATAGTTTGTTTTTCCCTACTGAACCATTTTTTTGCTATAAGGCTGCATGGTTGCAATCAAGAATAAACAAGTCTCCATTTAATCTCTTAAATGCAGTATCAGATAATCCTTTTCCACAACATAATCCTTAGAGCTATCTGGTTAATCTCCATTGCTTCATACAACCTAGCAAACACATTCATTCCAATAATCCACTTGGACACAATGCCTTCTGGTTATTCATACATACTGCTTCCAGTAACTTAATGAATCTTTCTTTCTATTCATATTTCTGTTCCTTTACAGCATAGAACACTGTTTCCAATAGTCCAGGGCACTTAGTAGCCTTGTGGCTAGCTCAATGTACATCACAGTAAAACAAATGACCAACGGTGAAGCCAAATCTCATGAGTATGAAATCCCATGTGCTACAAAGTGAGCAATCATCTTCCACTCAAACATAAGTTAAATGGACATGGAGGCAGGTTACATACTTGGGGCTTGGTAAGAATGAATAAATGTTGTCCTGGTTTTGTGAAAAAACAAAGCAGAAGGGCAGAGAAAAGGTTAACAGACTTGTGGGGAGTAAAGTCAAGTATGATCTGAAAGGGTAAGAGGAAAATGGTTGTGGCTGAGTTGTTGAGTGATAAAATATAAGATATTATGAATTTAATCTAAAGATTTCAAGAGAAAGGTGGGACATGGCAAGTACATAAGCACCCAAGAAATAAAAGAAACAGCAAAACACAGTTTCTAGAAAGACCTGAAAAGTTGCAGCATGTGACAACATATGGAAGCTTTTATGCAGGATATGGCAATGAGGAAGTTTTAAGAGTTGAGGGGGAATATGAAGGACCAGGAATGATTGAATGGACAATGAATATGTGCAATCTGTATTTGCTCGCGAGTCTGGCCATCTTGCATTGACAGGTAGACACCAATAGCTGCAAGAGCAAAAACTGAAAAACCTTTGGACAAAACACAATTCTTTTCTGAAGTCACATGCATGTTTATTTACCTCGCCTCAAAGAAATTATGAAGTACCCAATATCAATTGATACATGTATACAGTAAAATATGTTAAGTTCGGGACCAAAAGACTTCTGCGAAATGGTATATTACGAAGAGTGGATACTAACACACAAGTGTGTCAGAGGAGAGGACGTAGTAACCTGTAATACTTATGCCAGTTTAGTTATCATTAATTGTTTCTGCAAATATCTGTACACTAACTAACTTTATTATTCTCCAACACTCCCAATGCTATTATATCTACAAATAAACTTTCAATTTGTTAATCATGTCATCATATAGTCACTGAGACAGATGCCTAATTTTCCAATTTCTCACATATTTTCATGTAATACTCTGTGAAAAATAAAATAAATCTATATTCTCAAATCTCATAAATATGATGACCAAATCTGCCTAAAATAGTTTTTGTGTAATGCATGTTTTCAGTTGACCTATTTGAGTGTGTATTTATGTGCACCAAGTATACATACCCCGCCTCAGCTTTTCCGTTTCGTGTTCATGGCGGACAATAGCCAACCTTCTCTCTAGCTGTTCCATCTCTGCTTGTAGGTCTGACTCCAGCAACAATTTCTTCTCTTTATACATTTCATAAAGACGTTTCCAGCGGATCCCATATTCATACTCAAATGAGTTTCTGTCAGCGAACCTGTAATAATCTTTCAATGTAAAATCAACAATATTCAGTGTGTGTGTGTGTGTTTTTAGAAGATAAAAAACTTCCATAAATAATTAAAACAATCATAAAATGGAGGGATGTCAAACCATAATGGTTTTCAATGAACACATCTCTAATAAATCAGCACAAAATACAATGAAGACAGGTGGTGCCTAGAGATGGGCTAGGGTGGAAGGGAAGTTTTTATAAGTTAGTTTGACTTTCTTTAATGCCTTTTCTCCCCAAGAACTGCATTAGTAATCACCCAAAAACTAAACATTCTATAAAGGCAACATTGATATGCTCTTCACAATCTCAACCAGGTACAGTATTGTCAACGGTAGTTCACTGAGCTACAATCAGAAACTGTATATGAATTACTTAGAATCATTGAACCATCAGTAACTTTTCAAACAGAAAAACACCCAAAAAATTTTAATTTACAAACCCACAATTTTACAAACTCCCAGCACAATAGAGCAAATGTTATGCATGTACTGTGCAGGAGTTAAAATTTAAAGGTGTTTTTTTTTGCATACATCTTACAGCGAATCTACGTAACTACTGCAACCATCAACTAAAACCTTAATGATGTTCTTTGATAATGTTCGTTACATTTCCTAACATTACATACAGTCGGCCCTTAACATACGCGGGTTTATAATACACGGATTGCCCCGCCGGAGGAATATTCTGTACATTGAAGTAATTGAAGTGCATTCAAATCGCGCGCGGCACCGAACACGGGACACCGCCCGCTCCCGCAACCTCACACACATAGCTCTCCATCACTCAGTCAGTCTCGCTGTAACCATGCTTGTGTTGACATCAGCATTGAAGTTGCAAAAATATTACATTGCCGTGAATGCATTATATCAAGCACAGTATGAATAGAATATCACTAATATAAGAGTATTTTAACCGAAAACTACTCAAAAAACGAGTAACATCTCTTGAACATTGAAAGGTTAGGTAAAGTCTTTTGTTTTCGTCATGTATTTTATCCTATTTTACATTGAAATACATCACGTTTCAGCAAAACTACTATTTATTTCTGAGAATATATTCATTCAGGCACAGTTTAGGTAAAATATACATGTGCTGTAACATTTTTTTAATTGAAAACGATTCGAAAAACACGTACCCTCTAGCCCTGTTCAAGGAGAAGACTGGGAGGAGCTGTTTGGTGCTTAAGACGATGACAAGGAAAATGATTTTGATGGATTTTAATGAAAATATTCAGAAAGACCCTGGCACTGTCAAGGAAAGTGGCTGCTGAAGGCTTCCAGGACATGGCAGAGGACGAGATTAGGGAGCTAATTGAAGAGCACGACACTGAACTGACCGAGGAGGATCTACAGGAGTTAGTAGACTCAGGCGAGGAAGAGGAAGCGAAAGGGAAAGAGGATGAGGAAGAGCACCAAGAAATAATGGAGAAGTTGGGGGAGATGACCAGGAATACTGAGGCACTGAAAAACCTGGCCTATAGTATGGACCCCTCCATGGTGCGTGCCCTGAAATTCATGAGAGGGATGGATGACGTTTTCGCTCCATACAAAAACATCATGGAAGAAATGAAAGAAAGAGACGACAACTCCCCATCACCATGTTCTTTGATCACCGAAGGAGAGATTTAACACCATCAATCACTGGCGGCAGTGAGGAAGCAGCTGAATCCACCGTCGCCCCCACTTCACTTCACCAACCGTTATGGAAGTGAGTGACGATGTGCCCGATGACATCCGTCCTGTCGCCGAGGATAGGTACTGTACAGTAAAGTGAAATTTTTATCTCTTTTTTTTTAATAGCTTTTCTTGCCATGTTTATTGTTTGTAAAAATGCACAGCACAGTACTGTTCAGTACTGTACATAGGAAGTGGGGGTGCAGTTATTCACAAAACATGTGTGTTTGTTGTCGGCAGTAGTGAAGGTGAGGAGGGAGCGAGTTGGGAGGAGTGGTGACCTTGGACGCGGGAGCAGGGACGAGTGGAGATGCCAGCCAGTACATTACAGGTGTATTAATTGTTTTTATAGCTATTTTTGCATTTTAATATTAAATATTGTACATTACGCTTCAACAAAACTACCATTTGTTTCTGAGAACATGGAAATGTACTATTTTTGCTGAAATGATGTACGTATTACAGAGGAAAGTGGGATAAAATTGTGACGAAAGCAATGACTTTCTCTTTCTTTCGTTCAAAAGATGTTACCGTAATCGCTTTTCGAATGGTTTTCAGTTGTGGGATTATAAGGCTAATGATAGGATAGAATATTATTGTAATACAGTACGAGTACAACAGTTTTTTAACAACCATTCGAAAAGCGATTACGGTAAAATCTTTTGAATAACGAAAGAAAGCGAAAGTCATTGTTTTCGTCTTTCCACTGTAATATGTACGTCATTCCAGCAAAAATATTATATTTCCATATTTATTTCTGAGAATACTTATATTCATTCAGTCACAGTTAAGGTAAAATATACTTGTGATGTAATATTTTAATGAAAATACGGTATCATAGTTTTCTTTTGTTTCAAATTTAATTAACAAAGATTGATGTTTCAAATGTAATGAACAAAAATTTATGTACAGTATCTATAAATAAACTTTAATAAATGAATACTTTGTTTTACATCGTCCTGTGCTACCATACCATGGATTTGGCTACTTTGGGCTTGCTATGATGACTCAAGAGATCTGCCCTGGCAACTGTACCGACACTCACAGCTGGTGGTGCGTCGTTTCCATTGTTTACTGGTAGTTTCTGGTAAATATTTTTCAACCTAACGAAACTATTACCCATTTAGAGGTCGACCCCCAATTTTTTGCCAAATAATTTGGTCTTAAAAACTTGAACTACACACAGGTATATACGGTAAATAAGGACATGGGGGGGGGGGGCACATATACGCGGATTTTTAACATCCACGGGTATCTCTGTTACGTAACCCCCGCGTATGTTAAGGGCCGACTGTATAGTATACAGTATATTCACTGATATGAAGCCTAGGGAATTTGTTTTACAGAATACCCTAAAAATCTAGGACTTCATTAATAGCTGGCTGTTACAGTGATTACATGATACCTCCAACACATTTGGGGAGTGCTGTATATAAAACCCTAGTTACATAAATTCTCTTTAATACACACACCTACATCTACAGTATATAATCCATTTTTTTCTTTTATTTAAAATTTACAAATATGCATACATAAATATTATATACCATTTATATATTTTTCCGTTAAATATTTGGACGACTTTTCTTTGAAAATATACTTGATCATCCAGTTATTACAATATATCCTGCTTTTAATAAAGACTATAGTCTCCTTAACCCGTTCACCGCGTTTCACGCACTTGCCATTTTATTCTGGCTACTGCCAGACAATTTTATCCAGCTTAGGGTAACCTCCCGCTGCAAAAGGGTTAAGGGTAAAAAGAATGGACACTTTCAGCAGACATCAGAGAGAGGTTGGAGGCCACTGAAATGTGGCATTATAGGTGAATGCTAAGAATAAGCTCCACAGACAGGAAAACAAATGTATAAGTGCTATAATCAGACAAACTTCAAGAGAAATTCTCGAAGTTTATAGAAAAAGAAAAATGTGATACTTTCGTCATATAGGTAGGGATAAGGGAATAACAGAAATATTAATGAGAAAAGTTGGGGGTAGGAGGGCCAGGTGAAGGTAGAGACTAGGATGGATGAATGAAATTCAAAACTGAGAATCACACCAAATAAAGCTGGCCAAAGCCAATTCACACATCTTTCCCTCAATTTTTAGCCATGGACTTTCAATACTTTCAGCAAAATTGTTTGATTTTATCAAGCAGGTTATGAGGAAAGGACCTGTCTCCCTCAAAAAGCTAAATCAAGTTACAAAATTGCTATTAGGAATAATCAATGGAGGGTTCCAACTAATCTTGAAATTAGATCAGAAACAAAGAATATTCTAATGTATGAGATGTTCCTACTTGTCATTTCACCCCTTTCCTGTGGCTTTCTTCACTATTCTTGAACTTCTTTCCAGATGATTCCCCCCTCGTTGTTTGTTTCCTTTTATCCACCCCATGCAAGAAGTGTAGAAAAAGTAACAAATAAATACATTATGCACATGAACAACAACTAACAGAACATTGTACAGGAAATAAATACAACTGGGATTTCATAAGACTGATTATGCTATGTACAGCACAAGCGGATAATATGTACTAACATTAGAGGTTTACAAATTATAAAATAAAATTTTATAACTGAAAAATATAGTTGAGGACATGAACGTGTAATTTTCATTTGTCGTTTCAACCACCACCTGCGACTTCAACACACTCCTTGTACTTCTCCCCAATATTTTCCCTCTCCATTAAGTTTTCTGTATATGAATGATAGAAGTTGATCCGTGATCCGTCACTTTTTGTAATACAGTATTTCTTTTCAATCTTAAGTCTTTGACTTGTAGTGTTTTGAGCACTATCCGTGACATACCCCCACAAACTAGTGGGAAAGGAGAAAAAATATTATAAAGTGAACTTACTCTACCGGTATTCTTCTGGATATTTGTTACTTTCATTCCAATAAGACAAACAACAGAGACACTCACCTAGGCCCTTCCTTGCGCTCCTGCTTGTACTGTTCATTCTTATGCATGGAACTTTCAGGTTGACCTTCTTCCTCATCCCGAGCTTCAAGGGGTTCGACAATTACTGGACGAAGACCACTGAAAAGGAAAGTAACAATAACATAACCAACTTCCCACACCCCTCAACTTTGTGTGGCAGACTCCCAAGTCATATGGGTTAGCTGACTCAGCCTTTGGATGACTGACAAACCGAAAAAGCCTCACAACAAGCCTCCATCAACCCAGATCGGCACCAAGGACCAAACCAACAATTTCAAGTACTGTATGCAACAGAAAACCTTACCATTTACAACCAGTTTCCAGTGAAATCATCCTGGCAATCACTATCAAACGTATTGTCAATATAGATTAAAATTTCTTCCATTGTCAGCGGTACGTTATACTTTATAAACGACCCCCAACTTGAAGCCAAACGCAACAAAATTATTTTTACGACAATTCCTCTAACAGTTTATTTTTATTCATAAAAACTAGAACTTCGACGTTCTAAACAGTTTAAATCCAACAACAATCCTATACTTCACACCCCCACCCACAACAGTATATTACATAATTAAGTTTTGCAGCATTTACCGGTACATCAAAGTGGAATTTTATCAGAAAGTGAAACTATAATTCTAAACATTTTACGATAAAACTAACAAAATAAATATATCTTGTAGCACAACAAAGTCGAAAGTACTTCTCCATTCAACGAAAGGTCCATGGTTCGAATCTCGGGTGAGAGACTTCAAGAAGGTTCAGGATACCATCTTCTTTTTATCCAGAGCAACAACCAACTACTGTCATGTCAAATTAGTACCGCAGAACAAATAACCAAAAATACTGAAGAGCAGGTTCAGCAAGCTTTGCAAATATTACTGCAAAAACAAATCGCCCCAATATAACTTAAATTACCCATCACGAAAACTGTATATTACCACGTCAATGCTGCGTTTTAAAAAGGCCTAACCAATAAATTTTGCTCAACTACACACCAAATACCATTACCCACACTGAAAACAAGGTGGCCGGTGCCAGTATCAGCACATCACAAAAAATAAACCCACATAATACACCATAGGACCTGTGAACTTAAAACTAAAATTAAGTGAGATAACCCAGTGGGGTCTAAAGATTACAATGTCATCTTTCCCCCACTAAATCCTTAACACCAAAGCCCACAATACTTACCCCACTGCCCTTACCATACACTGTACATATCCCACATCTCTCCCATACACTGTACATATCCCACATCTCCCCATACACTGGAAATGTACAGTCAGCCAAAGATGCACCGACCCCACCCTGGGTCTCGTGCTCGCAATTTTACCTGGAAATACTTGGTAAACGAAGGCTGTATGTAAAGGTGATTGGTGGATCTGTTTTTGGCTGTATCACTGTCAGGATAATTATTAAACAAACCAAAGTAACATTTTTATAATAATTTATTCATTGTTATTTAAGGTCATGCGAAGTTTCCAAATGTTTGTATATTTGTTTAAATAAACAAAATTTTATGTGAGAATCTTGTGGCAGCTATAATTATAGTTAGTTGCCACTTTGTTAATATAATTTTTCATTATTTAAGCAAATATAAATTTTTTTTAAACTTTTCATGACCTTAAATAACAATGAATAGTTTATTATTATAAATATTCTACCTTTGCTTTGCTTAATAATTACACTGGCAGTGATGGAGCCAAAAACAGATCCACCAATCACAATCACCTTTACCAAGTATTGCCAAGTAAAATTGTAAGCACGAGACCCAGGGTAGGGTTGGCGCATCTTTGGCTGACTGTACCTACTGCAGCAGTTTCATAACTAAAATATTACAGAACTTAAGTTGTCATGTCATCCACACATCCCTGTATCAGTAACAGTTTCTATCCGTACTCTTAAGATTGCACTCTCCCCCCAATACAGTTGAGTTCAAGTGTAAAAACTAAAAAATTAGAGCCATATTAAAATAAAAAAATACGGATATTTAATAACCCGAAGAATAACTTAATCTATCAGATTCTCCATATTACTGATAAAGTTACCACGTGTTAGTGTACTGTGCCTTTTAAAAATACTTCAAATAGACAAACATAATACTTAACCCATCCAACCCTTTAAAATAGTTCAACTTATAAAAAAAAATTCAAATAAACCGTAAAAATTTCAAAATGACTATACTGTACTGTATAATCTTTCACATCTTTATCACCATAAAATGTCAATGCTAATTCAAGAAACTTAATTTACAAAGAGGTATAAGCAACCATGGATGTGGATATTTTCCATTTCCTTGAGTTGGATAATTCATTATTAGTTTTGAAATCCAAAATGTTCTGTACAGTGGAAGGATTACCACCCACACACACCAAATATGTATCCAACCCAGGAAAAAGAGCAAAGAGCACTACACTAAATCAAGCCACAAAGGTATGATGGTTGATGGGGGTGTCTTGCATGTGTTGCTGGGGAGGGTGGATTTGCAAGTCACATGGGCCTGTGAGAACAAGTAGCATCTGGCTAAGTTTCCTCAAAGTTTTGGCTTATTTTCAACAATAATAATTTCAAAAGGTATGTGAAAACAATTATAATATTTCATTAATACAAATTAACCCTCTCGTACACGCATTAAGTTTCCATGACCACAACCTAAGTCATAAGGGACTGGCCACTCACGTGAGATCATTATTATACAGCCAATTCATACTACCGTACAATAATTTTTTTGCATGATTTATATATCACTGATTTTGTTATTGTTTTGGCATTAACTAACCAGAAAAAAATTTGAATAATACCATTTTCACTCCAAATAATAAAAATTATAAAAAATTATTTGTATTCCCAACATCATATCTCGGATATTTTCTCACATACCTATCAAGGTACAGTATTATTTAGTTATAAAAGCAGAATTTGATGAGCTTTCCAAAGGTGATTTTGGGATTTTGAAACGACTAATTGTGGGGAGGGCAGAAGAAAAAAATAAGAGACAAATTTGACCAACTAGCACAGCTGATGGGAGGATACCGACAAGACAGCGGAACTCCACCCACACTTCAGTACTTTCTGGAAGCTTCCCTTGCAAGATCATGGTCATCTATTACACAATTATCTTGAAAACTATTTTGGGGGACAGTTTTAAAAGTTTAACGATACAATTCGACACGATTTGCATCATGATGCACGAGAGGGTTAATATAAACAAAAGAAAATTGGGCTACTTGAACAGATATAATTATTTACGAACTATTTATCACAAATGTTGGAACTCGCTAGAATCAACTGAAATAAACAAACCTATTCAACTCGCTTTTAGGGAACTTTCAACCTCTAAATACACCTTTTTTTTATTTAAAGTATATACTGTATATGCAGCATTCATTTCTTAATTTTGTCATCAAAGAAGCAAAGCAATATGTAACAGATTTTGTGTGGAAGCAAAATTTTACAAAGAGAAGAAAACTCAACGTAACACAAAACAGAACGTCTTGTTTTTGTTTTTTCCAGTGTTAAGGTCTGTATCTGCATCACGTGTGTCTTTTAATGTGACGCCACCATACTTGATGCTCCAACTTGAGAAGACAGAGCATTACTGTACAGTTTTCTCAGTCAAATATACCTCCATGTAAATTAAAATAGTACAAAAGATTAAAAAAATTATTCCAATACTGTAATAGTGAATTTTTCCCCACACCACCACTTACATTACCTACTTTAACACAGCAACAATTACGATCACATACGGGGCTTTATCAGTAACAAATACTAAACGCGATATCCTTTAGTGTGACCCACAAATCCTCAGCCCTTATGTCAATATCCCCATCCCGCTTACACAGAAACCTCCCATGTACTGTTACCTGAACTCTTGTTATACCACCATTCTGTCACCGATAGGACAGTCTTACTTCCAGCATGCGTAGATATGCCCTGGGAAATACAGTAGAGATGACGGCACGAAGACAAACTATACCTGGTGAGGAAATAGCACTCCTCCTGACACTTCTTGATGGCAAGTGTGGCACCTTTCTTGTCAGCAAATATCACGATGCCATCACCTGTGGTTTTTCCCCGGTCGTCAACAATCACACGGCACGCCTCGATCTAAGAAAGAACAGCCCAAAACAATGAGTGTCTATTAACAACACTACGTCCCTGATTATTGGGTCCATGGTGAGAAAACAATCCAGGAGAATACTATACATTAACTCAATACTATTACCACTACTTTATTCATAATTATATATATATAAAAAAAAGCCAAATTGGCCCCAAAAAATCAGTTACAAAACAAAAACTTCTCAACACACCACGAACTGAAGAATAAATACACCTCTATTCTCTAGATGAGACAGCCAGGTGAAACAAGCCTGGCTATTTAGCTATTCACCACAGAATGAGATATCAAAACATTTCTATTCTCTAGACGAGAGAATTGTTTTGAAAACTCTATATAGACTGGTGAAACAGTCTGGCTAATGCTGAGATGTAAGGAAATCTACATATGAAAGGCCAACAAAGGGTTAACTTAGTAGAACTTGTAGAGCACACATGATAGTGAAGATGAGACAGGACAGTTTAAAAGTTAAGTGGGATGTGGAGGAATATTGCTGGAGGATATGCCCTAACCAAGGTCTTCAGAGGACCCCTGAGATGCATTAGACAAATGTATTTATAATCAAGATGAAACTATTATTTGGAAAATATTTGAGGTGGATACAATTAATAAGTTTTTTTTTAAACAAAACCCTAAATTTCATTTAATTCATTCCAGGTGTTTCCTGCTATGATGCAGGGTGGCGAGGCAGATGCTAATCTCCCAATTCCTAGCACCGTGCTATCATTGGGTTACACCAGCCCATTGGCAGGATATTCCACCATCAACAAGTGCACCCGAGTGTTTGTGGTGACCACACAAGAAGGAAACCTGATCCCCACTCTGCTTGGGAATCGAACCCAGGACCACTAACATGCGAGGTGAATGCTCTAACAACTGACTTACGGAGTCACTAAATTGTGATAATTAATATTATTGTCTTGCTCTCCTTCCCACTACCTCCATTTTGATGATCTAACTGTACTTCACCTTACTTTAATTCTGTTTTTAAGTTCCTGTACTCATGACATATCTAGGAAACAATTTTCTGTAAAAATCTTGGCACTCAATAATGACCGCAACATCTCATAAAAATAATACCCCAACAGAAAAACTGGAAACAATGGCTAGAAAATTATACATTTTGATGTGTTTGATGATCACAGGTACATAATTCTAGGGAATAAGACTGTAGCACTAGCACAATGCATGAAAAAATAAAATATAACAATGTTTGGAGATTTTTGTTTATTCAAGATAACCTGGACACAATTGTAGCCAAAAACAAAATGAATAAAAAATGTCCAACCATAAAATGCTTCCATGGTACAGGCCTACTGCCTAGCTTCTACTACCTTGATGCAATGTAGTGTCTTACATTAAAAGCAAGGCACTGCTTACACAGAAGTACAATGCACGAATAGTTGACATTAACACTTTGATCAACATTTAAGTTCAAACATTATGCCATTAAAACAAATCTTGAAATATATACAAATAACAGAAAAAACTCACTACAGTACATTATGAGACCATCTGCTGACTGCTGGTATTACAAGGCAGGAGCTATAAGATAGCTGTGTCAAAATGAACTGCCATGCCCACTTGTTATCAAAAAGGACGACACTTAAAATGTTTAGATACACTGTACTGTATATAACATTACTGTAGGCAATTAAGAAATTAAGAGGTGCAGTATATTGCCATTTGCCAGTTCTAGCATGGCCTAACAAAATTTTTTTAAGTAAATATTAAAGAAAGCAAGATCTATTACTGCAAGTATGTGCCGTTAGCTAAAATAACGTGCAGCAGTGTATGCTCTTAAAATTTTGTGAACTTGTATTAAATATCAAGCAAGCTTTCAGGACTAAGAAGTTTTAAGATATGTTAAACTACTCTACAATAATGACCATAAATTCCCACAAAACTTTCATGATTTAGTTGTATATACAGTATACCAAGAAGTGTTTACTTATTAAATATATTAGTGTATGCTTATCTCTGTAGGTCATGCTGGACAAAATTGCCAGGACTTGAGGTTTATGTACAGTATCTAGATCTTCAGAAATTTTGTAGACAGTAATAGGTACTAAATCTGGAGGGGCTACTATAGTCTGGTCATTTAGGATATGCGTACTACTGTACATACGTGAAGGCCAGCCACATCAAATTTGTTATTTGACATCACAAGTGTAATATCATAGCAAGTTATTTTGAAGTTACTAATGGATGAACTAAAGACAAAGAAAATAAAAAGAAAACTATTATATAAGGTACGTTAACCTTCTACAGTTAATGGCAATCCACGCCTTTTAGGGTGCCACCCTCAGATGTGGTATGCATGATAAAGAGCACTAACTTTTGCTTCCCCTAAAAACATATTCACTCGGTATTTATCATTCTTCTAAAACAGCAAATGACCTTGCCAGTATAGTGCAAGAAGGATAAACAAACAAGACTTAGGTGCAAACTGAAAACACCACATCTGGCATGCTCCCACTCCTAATAATTCTGGAGACCTGAGGCTGTATAGTATTTTGTTGAACAAGAAATACTGTATGTACTCCAGAATTCAATCTTCCAAGATAACCCTTTTCAAAAGGAGGAACATGAATATAGACAAATGAGTTTGAAATTATTCTCCACATTGAAAGCCAGTATGTAATAACTTCAAAACATTGGTCAAAAGTAACCTATTAAAGCATATCAAAGTGATATACCTAACAATGTAAAATGTTTTAATATTGGGAGAAAGATGGGCAGACTTGGTGAAGGAGTAACTGAGGGCTACAGTACTTCACAAGGTTGTGGGTAAATGATTGGGGGGTTGTGTTGCAAAAACATATCACTAGAGTAAGTGAAGATGCCAGTATTAAGTGAAGGCTTGTAAGTAAGCAATGCAAAAAGATGTGAAACTATCTCTTTGTTTTGGGTAAACCTTGTTAACATATAAATGAAGGTAAAGATGTACACCAATTTAACTTACTGTGAAGTTTTATGCAAATGCTTCAAAATGTCCATGGGGATAGTCGAAGCAAATTGATATGGTAGAAATTTTTAATGATAAAAACATTCCTAAATAACAATAAAATGACGAATAATACACAAACATACATAAGATAAAGAGGGAGTCTTACACCCTCAGTATCCTGAAGGGTAGTGCCCGTGGAGAATGGTATAGATGCAAAAATGCAGCCATGAATCATAACATACAGGTGCGCTGTCATCCAATTTAATTAAATAATTAAGAGTACCCAAACTACTCGAATATATATGGATTTTGAACATATGGATTAAGTTCCTGTCATGTATATCAACTGAAGACCACACAAGAACATTGACAGATGCCAGTCTACTGTCAGCATTCACATTTCATAGCTCCTGCTTGCCTTCATATTCCTCTACAGTACTGTATATACTTTCCTATGACATGTCACCTTGCATCAACTGTGACACTACTGTCTACATGCAATACATAAACAAGTGAAGAGAAATTATAAATTACTTCTTGAACATATTGCTTCATCATTTCTTATTCCTGGGGCAAGCTCCCCATTTTGTGCTTTATGAAGTATAACTGCTCATATTCAAAAATTTTTATTCCAGAACATTTGCACTATTGAATTTCCTACAAATTCTTTCACAAAAGTTTAAATTGGCAGAAATTCACATAACCAAACCCCTGCACATGATGTTTAGGGCAGCTGTTCACCATTTCTCCGTGTTATTTGATAATGGTTATGTGATGTCCAGAGCAAAGCTGTAAACAAATTTTGGAATTCACTGAAGAAAAAACAAAAACATTCAGGACAATCTTTTGGAAATATTTCATTAAGTGTGATATCGATTTCTGAACTCAGGAGTGGGAAGCCCTATTGCCATGCCATCATCACTAAATTTGACTCACTCCTCGAGTGATATTTTAAGCACGGATCAAATGGAGGTACAGTACACTATTTTTGCGGCACGAGGATTGAATAGAGTGGAGAGTGATAGCCGAGACAACACATATGGCTTCCAGTACAACACCAGCTGCTGGGTGACTGAGTATAGCTGTACTGAGTGCCAGCAACAAGCTGCTGAGAGCATATGAGAGACAGAGAAAATTAACCTTTCCTCACAGTTATTAAAACCCAAAGCAGATATATATATATATATATATATATATATATATATATATATATATATATATATATATATATATATATATATATATATATATATATATATATATATATATATATATATGAAGGATAAAAACCCTGAAGTTGTGTTAAGTCTAGGCTAAAAATTACTGTAGGTTCAGAGTTCTTAGGTAGCTTGATATGGAAATCTCCCATCCTATGACATTTTCCACCTTGCAATACTGTTTAGATAATAGTCTGTATTGTCTATAAAGTATTGCAAGTCTGTATTTCAGAACCCCCCCCCATTAGTCTGGATTAGAGGAAGTTTACTGTGCAGAACTTATATACAGTATATTTAAATATTTCTTATTTTAGAAAGTGTAATTTCATTACAGTATCTCTTAATCATGAAGATCATACACCTATACAGTGTATTAATATGCACCTATATTTTGTTAGCACTGAAAAAAGAAGTATTGTATCATGTAGTGAGACTGTCAGAAGTGGTCTCTCTTAACTGCCCAACATTTTCCAGACCAAGTCTAGTCTCTCTATCTACTGAGACTGCAGAAACTCAGAACTAGCTTACATATAAGCTATTCTTTAAATAAAATTGTAGTACAGGTATATATACAGTACTTCAGATTTCAAATGAACCACAGAATTTCTCTAATACAAAACAAGAATATAAAGAGTTGCACACAGCTCTGATTAGCACAGTTAGCAATCAAGGAAATAAAAGTACTTTACAATCCCCAAAATAGTGTCCACTATGAAACTGTCCCATCGCACACAAATGTGATTAATAAACATGCAAACTGCTGCCTTCACTACATGATAAAAAAGAATCATATGAGATGCATGAGAATACATACATCATGGATATCTTATAAACAAATGGAATTCTATGTAGCATAAGTAACACCGACAGCATATTGAGGGTTGCAAGTTCATTATCAAAGGCTTTGTAAAGCAGGGAAGAAAAACCTCATTAGATAAATAGTCTGCATCAAAATAAATAATGAACTTTATGCATAGCTTTCAAAACATTTTACTGTGGTAGGTGTTAGTTACAGAATTATTGGGGGTCTTAGGATTAAAATCTCTCATTTTAGCTGGTACCAGTGAAATTTTTTTGGTGGGTAGTAGCAAAGGGCACTTTTAGATTTTTGAAAACCCTGGAAATGCCACTTCCTACAGACTGGCCTAAATATTTGTTTTTTTTCCTGAAGCTGAGAATTGTATTGCATCACACACCCTTTAATACTCTCAACTGCCACTTATCCTGCTGGGTCTAAGTTCACTTAAGTATGCCTTGTTAATTTAAGTTATAAATTATTTCTCTTCCCCAACCACATTTTACCTTAATTCTGAATGCCACATTTTCAGGTATTTCCACTAGTCTACCTCTTTTCCAACAAATGAACTCATCTTTAAGACTTTAATCTTGAGGTTCATTTCCCTCGACACATTTTTTTTCATTGTGTATCTTTTTAATCTCCCCCCAAATCATTCATTTTCATTCACCCATGATATAAACAACTTTTGTACAATATTGCTGACCAAAACAACTGTTTTAAGATATGAATTAGGGTGCCCTCAACATGAACGGCTGTTGAACTACCTTGTGCTATGTGTCCAAGAAGGCCATGGACAATGCTGCTACTGTACTGTACTATTAATATAAATGAATTAATCCTGTGGTTCAGATGTAATATATATACTATATATATGACACACACACAGGAATAGAATTTGTAGCATTTGGGTTTTAACAAATCCATTCTTTTCCTCCTCTCAGTCATTACAATTTCATCACAATGCGGGCGATATTATATATAAATAAACTAATTTTATAAATTACCACAAGAAGAAATACAAGATTTAAAATAAAAATTATTACAAGATTTTTACAGTAATAATCCAATCCCAGTTTAAACACTGTCTGAGTAGCATGCTGTTGAATAAGTATTCCTTTACATTAATACACAAAGAATAAATACGGCACAGTCCCACCCATGTTAAACAGCTCTTGCATTAGTCTAATAACTAACTGTGCTTAAAAGCCTTACCACTTATTCAGTTTCAACATTGTCAAGCAAGAAGAAACTGGTAATACTCTACACATCACTATTACCTTTGGAAGTAATTAAGGTCTACATTTTAAATTTCCCTCCAGTTATGGAGGACCACATCATGAACCTTAAATACTATATCATTTAAGAGTGGTAACATGGACGATTCTGATACCACTGACTAATCTGTCAAGAAACAACAATGTTTCAGAAATAAAATATTAATTCCCCCAGCCATGCCTTAAGGGTAAACATCTGCACAAAGGAAGCGTGAGAAATCTTACGACTTTACCTGTACGTAAAACGATACACCACCACAAATGTAATTTAAATCGCAAAATAAATAAAAGTACTGTACTGGTATCAGTTATCTGTAGAAAAATATCCATCACTAATACTGTCTTAAGTGTAAAATCTTCCCCTTTTCCGATGAATATGGAACAAATATATATTGCATTCCTCGATTCTCTGAGTAGAAAATCACGATGACTATTAATAACTTTTCTTCTTTCAAAATCTTGGAGAACACAGGCTAACCAATTAGAAATATTTGCTAGGTCAGGTCATTGGAACCACATGGATTCTTTTACAATGCAAAACATTAATAAGTGCAGGTATCTTCTTCCAACTCCTCTCACCAGTGTTAGCTACATCACTGAATTCTTTAACGAAGCCAAAAGTAATATTTACATTACCCAGACATTAACACCTTCACCCTCAATTAAGTTATGATCATTTTTAACACTGAAAAGACCAAATACCTAAAAAAAAATACGATTTTTGCTAAAATTAAAATAGTCTTCCTGTCTTATCATAAAGCATGTTCTGCCACAAGGCTACCAATCGATGTCTTTGTGCACGATTTTATATTATCTGCAATGCATCGCCCCCATGAATTAAACCCACACAACTAAGGCATGCCGTAACACACTCCCAGAATAAGTCATCTTTGAGGGTACAATTACAATCATAGAATATTCTTTTAAATTAAGTCACAATAGTTCAACCCACTGTGAGCTATCAAACACATTGTATTTTTCCCATCCTTCACGTTTAAGATTCAAATTTAGAGGACGAGGTAATTCATACTTAATACTCTCAACTGGTAAAAAACAAAAAGGTCTAGATACAGTCCAAGTACTTAAATTTTCAAATATGCCTGAAAGTAAAACAAAAAATTATCTGTAAGCTCTGCAAACTTATGCATCAAATTTTACAATATGGTTTTAGCAGTGCCTTAAAGGCAGACAGGTGGCTTCTGAAAATCAATTTTGATAAAAAAAAGCAATCATGTTAAAATTATCAAATCTTAGCTTGAGCAAATTCAGTTGCATGACATTTCATGGTTTGGAATGAATACTGTAGAGGCAATCAAACCAACTCATCAAGAACGACCACAACAAAAGCCTAATTTACCTATTTTCACGTGACAAAGGCACTTGAAACCAACAGTGAATCAGTCAAAAGTGGTATTGCTACAATATTTGATGAATGTCAACATATCTAGACCCTCCCCATTCCCAGTACTTGATACCACTCACCTGACCAAAAACATTGAAGGCTTTTTCCAATAACTCATTTGACACACAAGGTGTCAGATTCTTGACCCGCACACCAGTTGAGATAGACGCATATCTGATCTTCATGGGACGGCTACGACAATTCTTTCCTTGTAATTCTCGCTTTGCCTTCTCTGCATTAGCTCGATAATCCTGTACAACCATTCAAATATTAGGACAACACTTTAATGAGAGTACTACCATTAATACAGTATATACAAAACTCTATTCTACACACACTCATCATCAGCAGTGATTTATGGCCATTAACTGATCTCTTTTTCTGGGGGTATTATGACAAATGCCTTCCAATCATTCTATCCAAATATTTTAATAACCTACTCCCTTCTCCTCAGCATTTCAAGACCTTTTCCAATGTTTCTAAACTTCCACCAAAAAATCACCCAAAATAAACAAGTTCAAGATTGAGTGAACATTTGCTCTTTTCCAACAATTTTTTTATTTAAATTTACATCCCAAATTGGGTTAGCCAAACATATCAGTCTAGGCATAAATTCTTAAACAGTAGACCTTGTTTTTATTTTGGGTTTTGCATAAGCAAACAAATTGTAAGTCATAGTGAAAGTATAAAAATGTAAACCATCAAATACTGCACTAACAGACGAAATTAATCTTTTAGAATATAATAGAGGCATTAAAACACAGGTCAATATTATAGTGGTAGAGGCCAATGATTATGGATCACAGTACAAGTATGTGTAAATGTAGTAAAGCCTGAATTGCTATTTTTTGATTACAGTACAATTATGTGTAAATGTAGTAAAGCCTGAATTGCTATTTTTCTTAAGTAAAAAATCAACAATAAAAGTGACACTTAAGCCTAAGAGTCACCCACTATCATTAAGAGAACCTGAATCCTAGAAATGTCCCAGTGAAACATGCATGCCCCACCATGTCTGGGTTGTAAAGCCTCACCCGACTCCAAAACTCTCTCCAACAGCCACTCGAGAAAATTAGCAGGTAATGCAAATTAAAACTTTTTTGTTATAAAATGGAAACTAATGTGACAGAATAGCAAGAGTACAAGACCAAATGCATTACCAAGATGAAATACTTACAAAATTAATGAAGGCATATGCTCCATCCTTGTTGAAGTACACCTGGCCCAACTCTCCATACTGAGAAAATATTTCCTTAAGCTCCTCATAAGGAATGTCACGAGGCAGGTTACCCACAAACAAGCGACTGCTGGCATTAAACTTTTTCTCTGTGGTATCAAGGGGTGGCAAGTCCAACTGTGGACCACTCAGTTCAGTATTCACTCTTTCTTTGATCTTATCCTGTAACAATATAAATGTAACCATGGTAAGTTTTATTTTGTACATTACATATTCAACATTTATATATAAAATTCTTATCTACAACCCCTCATTCATCCATGGTGCTCCTATTGTATATGAGTAAGCAAAGCAAGTTTAGTTTGGTTCAATTTCTGAATGACAAATTTAGTAGTAGTATCTGGTACGGCTAACAGGTGTTTACCTGATGTATGATTTGGTGCCAAAATTTGTACTAAGTTGGAAGTTCACCACACTATAGGAGTCATGTCATAGTTTGGCTGTTTTATCAATCTGTTCCAACTGTTTAACATTGTGTCCAACAATAAGTTCAAAAATTCCTATTTGACCATGGTCTTCTACACACCCTCACTGTGATATGAAAACAAAGAGAAACACTACAGAGTACAACAGCAGTTGGAGTCACATCCACTACCTGAACTGCCAAATTGTAAAATTCATATAAAACAAAACACACTGCTAGTGCACTTTTCATCATTTTCATGAGTGGTAAAGGTGGAGATGATGATTAGCACCAGAAATAACTTATGAAATTGAACCAACGCTACACTGTCCTAAGGGCAAAGCTGTACTGTACATGTACTCAAAATAATGTACTAAATTATTACAGTATTACCCCGTGTAAAGTGTAAAGCTTTACACGGTTTCACTTTCCGCGATTTCTCATTGATTTCTCATTTACACGGTACCTTGCCAGAACCGGACTTTCCGCGGTGCATCTACTCGTATACCATCTACTCATATATGCATCAACTCATATATCATATATGCGTGAAGTATATATATTTTTATTTAGCTCATAAAAATCATACAAATTACCCAGCCAGAATATAATTTACATTGCTGGAATTCTTACAATATGATGATCATTTTGAATATAAACATCATGGATTTTGCATTAGATATAAAAATTTTAGATCTTATGTAATAATTTGGTTTACACAAAGCAAATATTTTATCTTTTGTGCAAAATATATGAAGTTTACATTCAAAATATTCCCTGACCTGCAAGGAATCCAGAAATGTCAATTATATTATCCTAACTTTAGTCTGAGGTATTATTTATTACTTAAAGTTAAAATCTATTTTCTCCCAAACTTCTCTGGTAGGGAGGGACGACCCAGCTAGGGCAGAGTATTTTGATTGACAGATAGTGTCCTTGAAGAATATTTCTTTGTTTATTTACTGAAGATATGTGTTTTAGCTCATAAAAATCATACAAATTACCCAGCCAGAATATAATTTACATTGCTGGAATTCTTACAATATGATGATCATTTTGAATATAAACATCATGGATTTTGCATTAGATATAAAAATTTTAGATCTTATGTAATAATTTGGTTTACACAAAGCAAATATTTTATCTTTTGTGCAAAATATATGAAGTTTACATTCAAAATATTCCCTGACCTGCAAGGAATCCAGAAATGTCAATTATATTATCCTAACTTTAGTCTGAGGTATTATTTATTACTTAAAGTTAAAATCTAGTTTTTCACCCAACACTTCTCTGGTAGGGAGGGAAGGTGATAAGAATTATTCAGAACTACTTAGTGGGAAAACAGTTTGCATGGCCATGGATGGATGGAGTAATGTCCATAATGAGCCTACAGTATGTATAACTTTAACAGCGGACAACCGTATTTATCTTGTTGACTCTATAGACACAGAATCAAGACACACAGCTGAATATCTGTTGAAATTAGCTGAATGTGCTACAAAAAAGTGTGAAGACAAATTTGGATGCACAATAAGAAGCTGTGTAACAGATAATGCTGCTAATATGGCAAAAAGGAGAAGTGAATTCGGACAAGATAAATTCATTATAACATATGGTTGCTCTGCACACCTGTTAAATTTGCTTTCACAAGACCTGCAAATCAAGAACATTAAGGAGCATACTGTATTACTGAAATCATTAAGTACTTCAGAAATCATCACATCCCAGGATCTTTGTATAGAAGAGCAGGAGGAAAAATGCTAGTAATGCCATCACACACACGATGGAACACAGTGACAGATTCTATTGAATCTTATATAAAGAACTGGGAGACCCTTGTCAAAGTGTGCAAAGAAAATAGTGAAGACATTGATAAGAAAATTGAAAGGAAAGTTAATGATAAAGCATTAAAAAGAACTGCAGAAGACTATCTAGAGAGACTTAAGCCTATTGTTGTGGCATTGGACTGTGTCCAGAGAGAACATACCCTATTAAGTGATGCTGTAGAAATCTGGGTAAAACTGATAATTAAGGAGTATTTAACAGATAAGAAGGATAAGGATAATTTTGAAAAAAGAATCAAAGTAGCATTGACACCTGCCCATCTTCTAGCTAATGTGATAGATCCAAGGTATCAGGGCAGACATCTGACTCCTGAGCAGCGAGACATTGCAGAACAGTATGTGTGCGAGTCTCTTCCACATTTCCTTTCAACATTAATGTCCTTCCATGGAAGAAGTGCACCATTTAAAGAGGTCTAGTTTGGTAAAGATGTTGTAAAATCTCTCTCACCCCTTGCTTGGTGGCAGTATTTTGCCAATGATATGACAGAAAATGCAATGGATGTTCCTAGGCAATTATTTACAGCTGTTGCATCATCAGCAGGGGTTGAGTGAAATTTTTCCAGCATACCCGGTATGGATTTGTACACTCAAAGGTAAGAAATCGCCTAGAACAGGAAAAGGCATCTAAGCTTGTCACAGTACATAAGCATTTCAATGTTCAACTAAGCTAATTTAAATATTTTGAACTATTTTTGTTGTTTACAGAATGAGAATACTGTATTATGTTTACACGAGGTTATTACCGGTAATTCTTAATACACTATAATCCTACAAATGTAAGAAAATAAACTTGTTACCAGTATTATTTTTTTTACAAAATGAGATTATTATTCTGTTGACTTGAAGAAGTTGTTATTAATTTTTGAAACACTGTAATCCTATAAGAGCATTTATGTTAAATTTCATTATTACGTTTGGATTTGTGCACTCAAATGTAAGATATGTTACCAGTTTTCTTTTATTTTACAAAAAGAAAATTATTGTGTTAGATTCCATTGGTACATCTACTGCATAAATATCTTAATGCCAATTTACTGTTTATTATCCTGAATAAGCTTTGGTTGAAAAATACTGTTTTTATGGTTTAAAAATACCATTTTAATGCAATTAGTAAAAAAATAAAAAAATCGATTTAAATAGAAAAAATCCAATTTAAATCAAATAAATCCGATTTAAATCAAATAAATCTATTTTTTATTTTATTTTTAAAAATCATGATTTTTTCCAACCCTGTCATTCAGTATCATCCAAAGAACAACTGGAAAATATGAATGAAATATATTAATGCATTCGGGTGCTAACCATCTGTGCTCTACCTTTAACTCGAGTTAAAGCATTTTCCTTGACATTTTTCTATGGTTTAATTTAATACAGTAGGAAGTTATGGCTCACAACTCCTCTAGAATATAACTACGTACTGTATACAGTCGTATTTCCACGCTAAGCTGGCCAGTAAGCCACGCCCCTCGTCTAGTGAGTTCTGCTATAACGCGTGTTTTGATAACGCGAATTTGCTCTAACGCGATTTATGAATTCGGAACAATATTTGTATAACGCGATCGCTTGTTTGCTATAACGCGATTTTTGCTTACTATTTCTCCAATTTTGTGGTATTAACTGTGAATATGGTAAAGAAGAATATCTCCAAAAAGCATTCTGATGATAGAATTCCCGGTGATTATCGTAAAAGAAAGGATATAACACTTGAAGAGAAGCTTGATGTTATCAACCTCAAAATCACCCTTCTCCCCCATCAAGTTACATTCATATTTTTTCAAGGTAAAGTGTTAAATTTACTGTATGATTTCATTATTAGATATGAATGTAACATTTATTTAGACTGTGCTATCCTTTGTGTTAGGCTAACTACTAAATTTTTTCGATTTCGAGTAATCTGCACCTAACCCTATTTTCTCCATAAGCCCTGTTATTTCTATTACGCGATTTTCTATAACACGATATTTTACAAGAACACAATTATCGCGTTATAGCAGAACTACATTACAAATTGCCAATTGGTTCCCCTAAGCGTTTTAACCTCCGCCCGGATTGCGCATATTTATATCGACCTTTTATAATAAATATTAAAATTTTTCTAACATCCTCTCTGATGTGCTAATGCCTTAAATTGATTTGCATTTTAATCATGAATTCATTTAACATTATTTTAGCTAATAACAAGTCTGCTTATCAATTGTGAACACAGTTACCGTATTTTTCGGCTTAAAAGACGCACTTTTTATGACAAAAATATACCTCGAAAATTACCATACGTCTTCCAGGACACTAGTCGATGAGTTGTAGCAGAGGTTTTTGAAATCAGCCCCTTACAAAGACTGTTACCTCATTACAGTACTTAACAATTACAAGTATTCTCTATACAGTACTATAAAACTATTGATTTAACTAAAATTGTTGATATATTGCAAAAAAATAAATAAAAACAAACCCTCGCTGCTGTGTAGTTTGTTTACTAATGGCAGTGGTGCAGCAGCGCCATCTATTGAGGAATTGCTAAAGGTTGTCTGCTGGTCTCAAATGCAGGAATGTTTGGTTCTTTATATGTAGGCTCTCATATTTTGACACCTATTTACAGTAGGCTCTCACATTTGGATACCCATTTAGACTGTAAAAACCCCACAAAATTAAAATCTTCCAAATTTAAATACAACTTCGTCATCCAAGTAAAAACACACACACAACAACATTGGCTGTCCTTATGTTTTCAACTTTATTACTAATGGTGGGTAGAATTTTTTTTAATTCAGAAACATTAATTAAAATATATATGAACAGTAAATAAATGTTGCTTTCATATTCTTATGTACAAGTAGAGTAATGATGATATGTTTACACGTGCTCACTTGCATACGTGATCTCACTTTTTTTTACCCTTAATTGTTAGCTGCTTCCATTGTTCCATTTATTAACATTAAATAACATTACTTAAAACAACCATACTAATTTTACTACAGCTACAACCAGGGTCTTATTTTCTTCAGTTTTATATGTAGAACCAATCAGTCACTGGTTTTGTAAACAACAAAAACAATGACGTCTTGTCTCCTCATGTGTTTTAATATTCTTCGTATTATTAATGAATTGTATTGTTCAACTTGCACACAATACAATAATTCAATCAAAATGAAATTCAGAAACATTAATTAAAACATATATGAACAGTAAATAAGTGTTGCTTTCATATTCTTATGTAGAGTAATGATGATATGTTTACACGTGCTCACTTACATATGCGATCTCACTTTTTTCCCTTAATTGTTAGCTACTTCCATTGTTCCATTTATTAATATTAAGTAACATTACTTAAAACAACCATATTAATTTTTCTACATTAATTTTAATACAGCTACAATGGAGGACTTATTTTCTTCAGTTTTATAATTATGTAGAACCAATCAGTCAGCGGTTTTGCCAAAAACTAGTTGTTTTTTACTTTTATTTTGTTTTTAAATAAAGATTTTTTGTTTTATATAGACATTGATATACATGTTTACATTTGCTTACCTTCTACTGTTGGAAAGTATTTCCCGTCGTTGTCATACCGACAAAAACAAGAGAAAGAATGTAAACACTACAGCCCCTAAGATGTGGAGGTGACCAGGTGTATAAAATGAGTGCTGTATTAAAGACTTCACCTTCTTATACAGATTTTTTTTAATTGATGAAAATGACGACTGATAAGCAGTTCTAAGTGATGATATTCAAAGAGGTGTGTATACTTGTGCCAAAAGGGCTGTATATCAAGCAACGGTTTCACTGGTGTAGGTAATAGGCAGCTAATGTACCAAACAAGGAGGTACTACCGTCTGGGAAGACATTGGAAGCATAATGTATTGTCTAACGGTAGACCCTGCTGCTATGTGACAAAGTCCCAGGTTGATGATCTGACTTTCTGCAGGGTCTCAATGGTTTCTCTTACTTTGACAACACAACATACATACAGGTATATTGTTTCTCACTCTTGATATTTTTTTTTTCATTTTTGTATTTATTATTATTATTACATTTTCCCCCCAGAGGAGCCAATGTGGGTCAGTGACCTGTGCCCAGGTGGGCTAAAACCCATAATTTTTTTTGTTAGAATTTCATTTCCAAAATCAGGGTGCGTCTTCCACGATGCAGCGTCTTCCAAGCCGAAAAATACGGTAGTTTGAATTTTCTATGAACCAATCAGCTTTTAGTGTAGATGAGGGGCGTGGCCTACGGACCAGGTTAGCGTGGAAAGAGGATGGTTTTGGAAATTTATGAGAAAACCTCTACCAGAAAACGTTTGCGGATTTCCTTTTATTTTACTTGTTTTAGTGATTGTAAGTATTTTAGAAGGAGCGACAACTTTATATTTTTACTTTCATGAAAATTGCAGGATAAAACACGGTGAAAAACTGATCATGACACTAAAATGATGTCTACTACAGTACATGCTTTGTCTGTGAAGAAATCAATAAGTTATTGTAAATATTCATTTAATTGCTGGGGCTCCTTTTTGTTATGAGAAGAGTTTTTCCCCCATATTTAGGTGTCTTTTACTCAAATCTGACCTTCATTTTTGGGACAAATGAGCTAATTTTGTAAAAAAAAAAAGCACTCGGCACAAAAGAGAAAAAGAAAAAATTTTCTCATAACAATTTCAACTCTTGCAAATCACTGTTTAAACCTAACCCCAATGATATTATAATTTGCACAAGGAAAGAAATGTACAGTATTCTTAATATTTTTAAATAATCCCATGAATAAGAAAATACCTAAAATCTTACCGCAGCCATTAAACGAATATTACCAAATATGCCTCCAAAAACTCTGATGTTGTCGGCATATATTGTTGTCTGCCCTGTTTGTTTACAACTGACCCCCTTGGTTTTGAACTTACTTTCACACCCACAAAAGTAAAATGTTAGATTACATCATGACACTTAAAGTTGTTTTCATTGGTACCAAATATCAAAATAAGTATACAGTACTTTCATTTAATATGCCTGGGATCTGCCCCTGGCTAAGAAGTTAGGTACGTTTCTTTGGTTGGTTAGGTCAGGTTCTATTAAATATCACCTCTTAAAATACTATAATGATAAGAACATCTGTGAGGAAAAATTAATGAAATCGAACGACTCGTTCTGGTGGTAGCGGTGTTCTCATATATTTCCCTGGTTTCTTATTTGTAGTTTTTAAACTTCTAGTTTGCCCAAGCAAGTATGTCTGCGAATATCCTATTAAAATATACAGTACGGGCATCCCCAGCGTTACGGAACCCCCTCCCCCAGTAGAGTATATGCAAGTCATTTGCAAGGGAAACGTCCCAGAAGAAGTATCTTGAAATTGTCTAGACCACCAGAAAAAACATATTGCTCAACTCGAGATCCGTGGTTGGTCGAACCTACAAATTTACCCAAATATTAAATTTCCTTGAGCATCAGGTAGTAGGCGGTGGCCACCTTACCTAAAGAGGCAAAATAATTATTGACTGACCCACTAGTGATTTTGAATAGTTAACGATTATAAAATATACGAGGGGTTCCAGGGGGGCAGAGCCCTCTGGTTAGGTTAGGTAATTTTAAGTTATTTGCGAGGGAAACGACATAGAAGAAAAGGGTCTTAACATTGTTTAAACCATCGGAAAACACATTGCTCAACAGAAAATCCATGGTTGTCCACTTGTAAAAATTAACTGAAATAATTATCATATCAGGGTTAATATTCGTCCACTGGCTGACCATAAGTTTCCAATTTTCAATATTACAGACACTAGAAAAAACAAAACATACGGCTTCATATACTTTCTTATGTAAATCAATATCAACCGAGTATCTCTCAAATTTCTACGTGTATATTTCTGTATCTGCCATGTTGCCAGAGTCACTTGTCTCTACCTCTTTGCAACATGACAACCAATGACCTTCAAGTACCGTGTCATGTGACTTGGCTGGCCAATCATTTGTAACCAGCTTTCCCCAGTGCATTTTCAAATTTTGAAGGCTTTCATGATGGCATGTGATAAGTGTTCTCTCCCATATCTAACTGTTATTCAGCGAGTTTATGAGAATAATGCTGCAATAGAGGCATTTATTGCATGGCATTTTAGATGCATGGAATAGCTAACAAATTAGCTATTCTGTATGCGCAGAAGCTGCTTTTGAGTTGTGCACATGACACGTTCAGAGGGAAAAGCTAATGCCTCGATCAGGCGTTAGCCTTGTGTAGTGCCCAAGCGGCCTAAATAGCTAACAACCAATCAGCGATTTCTTCCACTGAAAATACGCGGATCATGGCCGCTTATGGAGAATACAGTATTTTTATTAATATTTAAGAGTTAGAGGCGTGTAAGGCAATAAAAATAATTCTTTACACAGTAGTACAGAATATTGGATAGGACCTAAAGAAAAGCGTATGGAGTGAAAGGATTACTTGTTAAAACCAGTTTTGGCTCCGCCCATTTTTAAGTGGGCGCTGTCTGATTTCATTAGCTATTGGTAACTTTGGTGTAACAATATTGATAATTACTCAAATACGATTAAAACTTTAATATCTTTACTCATAAGATACTTTAAATAAAGGTGAACAAGTTGATTACAATTCTTTAAGTGCAAAAATTAAGACTTAAAAGAAGCTGAAATTCATCGTATTTTGTGTAAAAATGTGAACACCTAGCTGCGCGAAACAGTCTTTGGATAGTGTGGTTTCAGAGTCCGGAGAAATTACCTTTACAACGTGCCCGACTTATTGTGTTCTTATTTATTGTTGACTGACTTTTTTTCCTTCTTTCCACAATTTTCTATACATTTTCTTCACTATTTCTTTCCATATTGTGTCCAAATAACAGTTCTTATTTTATTGTTTTCTGAAGACTGTGTTGTACAACAGTTACTTCCAAGAGGCGGTACAATGTCGTATTTTTTAACAAGTCCGGGAAAACGAACCCGTTAGCTTTTCGTGCATCTTAAAATGCCTTAAGAATATTACAAGATCCAGGTGTCCTACCAACATCAAGACTGTGTCCTGTGTGTGGAAATTGTTTAGTTTTAAACAAAGACAAATTACCATCCTTCACCATATCGCCCAGGTGTATCCTCCACCACAGTAGCAGGTTAGGTTTTGTTTGGGGTTTTACTCAAACCTGACTACCAATTTTGTGCAAATTAGCAGTTTGTTACAAATGAAAATCTTTTTTTTTTGCAAAAACTGCTTATTTGTACAAGAAATGATGATTAGATTTGAGTAAAACACCATAAAAAACACAACTAAACTATTCTTGTTTCAAAATCTAGGGAAAGCCAGATCACCACTCACTGATGAAAAAAAAATCGTCGGCAGGTCTGTCAATATTAATAAAAGCAAAAATTTGTTATTAAACATCAGGAAGTAGGCCACATTCTCTTCAAAAAAGGGGAAAATAGGACCATCCTCTTATAACAAGAACAAACCCAATGATGTATTAACTCGTGTATGGCACTACTTATTGGTAAATTCCTGTTAACATCAAGGTTTGCCTTTGTTTTTCAGCTTGACTTAAATGTCAAAGGGTGAGCAGCAGGATGTAGCCTATTTACCACTCTATGTCCAATTATTTTTTGGGCTTCAATACCAGATTTTAAATATTGAAGCGTAAGTCTGACATACACCAAACCACTATTGTCTTAATAGTCTATAATCCAAACTGCGTCACTCTGGAATACTCAGTCCCTATCGGGGGTTCCCCTTGTGACATCAGCTTGACCTCATTTTCCCCCTGATACAAAACAAAGGAAAGTTTCATCCACGTCCAGGAATATAAAAATTTACTGTAGTTTTATAGTCATTATTGCCTCCCACCCCCTCTTACTATATACACCTGGGCCGTGAGCACCAGACGCCGCCACCATACTCACATAGCCATACTGGGGGTGTCTGCCGTACTGCTGGGGTCCACGCTTCTGTTGGTTGCCTTGATAATAACCCCCTCGACTTCCTCCACTCACACTATCATCCCCACGTCCTTTCTGGGGTGTCCCGTTCTCCATATTTTCGCCTTTTCTAACTGAATATAGGCGAGAATAGAGGTATAATGCCGGCCAGGAGCGTCAACAGCCAGGGTCGTCCTCTCGCCAAGCCAAGCCACCTCAGGACTCACCAACTGTAACTTTGGTTCCCTCTAACATCTCCACCCATTTTAAAAAACATATTATTCTCATTCATGTTACCGAAGGAACTAATGTATTATTATATTTAAAAAAATTATATTTTTAATAATATTGGTTTTATAAAATAGCAATAATAATATTAGGAACTATCCAACATATATACAATAAATCAATAATAAACAAAGGATGAAGAATTAATACTAAAATAATTGATTTTATAAAATTCTAGTAATGCCCATGCAACTTGCATATATTAGTATTTTGTATGATTGAAAAGGCTTACATAATGTACTGATGTGTCATATTATCTCGGTTTCTACGCAGAACGTGTTGCAGTAGGTTTTGCGCAATATACTATAATTCTATCATAAGTTAATTAACATTCCACTAATAATCTGATTGGTGGGTCATCAACCTATCAAAATGAACGCGATGAAATATGCTTTTCACCTAATGATTAGCTCACTCCCCCCCAATTCAACTGGTACCCTGCTGTCATACAAAACAGGTATCTCATCCTGGGCTACACAAAATGATTCGCACCAGCACCACCACCAGATTCTCACTAACAAAACCCAGTGGCCCCAAGACTTGGTAATGGTTTTACTGCTTATACGCGCATGCATACCTTTCAGTTGTGGATATAATCGTGTTTCTGCGAACAACTAAATCAATTCGCAACAGGAAAGATTATTTAGTGGGCCGGTTCTTTCATTCGTAATGCATTCATGTGCTGTACATCTGAGAAAAGTTGTGACACTTCATCTGTGGCTCATGTACTTAACATAAGTCCTGAGGTGTAAGAAGCTGAGTTTGAATACATCTGTGCTTTAGTAGAATTTGGTTAAGATTTTGACGGGTACTTTAATTTGAATGTAGTAGAGGGAAAATAAGTACAAGAAGTGGGGATACATGGGCTGAGTAATAGAAAAGAAAGTGGAGAAAGGTTCTTTGACTTTGTAAAGAAATTTCTACTGTATTTCAACCTTAAGATAAAAATAATCCGATCATAGCTCTAAATATTAATAATAAACACTGTCATGATAAAGCAAAGTTAGTTAACTGTTTTACCTCTGTTTATGCAATAATTGTCTCATAATTATTAAATAAATTGGTAGTTGCCTCAAACATTATGGAACAGACTCGGGAAGGTTACCAGCTCTGCTTGTGGTACCAGGGCAGGGTACTCAAAAATATTTACAATAATGTATCTTCCAGTTAACTCTGTAGGTCGGTCCTCCAGGTTGTAGGTCCTCTCTCTAGCTCTCCCACCCAGGACTACCCACTACCCCATTCGTGATCGAATTACATTGGCTTCCAATAAAAACTAGGATAGTTCAAATTCTGTCTAATGACCTTTAAATTCAGTGTAAATTCATATTGGGATACGGGCTTAACACCTGCATCTCAACACCGGTTTTTTTAACACTTCACAAGGGATCGATTTAGGTAACTTCTGAAATATCTTCCTTTTGGATACACCGATACCATGCCTGCAGAAGGTAATCCACAATTCAATAAGCTCTACAAAGTACAGCCTATTGTAGACCACTTTGTTAGAGCTTTCAGACACAATTTTCATCCCGGTGAAAGTATTTCTGTTGACGAAAGCATGGTTGGATATAAGGGGAAGACTCCACTCCACCAATTTATGCCACACAAACAACAAGTCCGATCTGATATAAATGTGTTGTGTTTGCGTGATACTGTCTCTGGCTACACTTGTGCCTTGGAGATATAAAAGTGCGTGACCCACAAGATGTGGGTGCGGAAGGGCTCACTTATAATTTGGTGATGTGAATGATGCATGAGGCTGATGTCTTTTATCGTGGACATCATATACTTTTACTTTACTTTATTGAATCCTCTTCACCACTGATCGGCTCGTTAGCCACTTGGGCGATCGGTCACGTCTCTGTTACGCACTGTTGGCAAGTACTGGGCATGCACCGGCTCCTGAATGTATCTGAACCTGCTCCAGTTTTGGTCAAGTCTGGTCTTGAAACAACTCACACTCGGTGCCGTGACAACACTCTCTGGCAGGTTGTTCCAAGTGTTTACAATTCTCACTCCGAAAAAGTTCGCCCCTCACAGTTTTCTGGACTTGCAGCCACTTCAACCTTGAGCTGTGACCTCTTGTGGGGCGGGCGTCCGCCAGCTCCAGGTAAGGACATTCGACTGAGTAGTGCCCTTTGATATGTTTATACACCTCAATTAGGTCACCCCTTGCCCGTCTGTAGTATAAGCTAGGCAATTGCAGTCGCTCTAATCTCTGGATAGTTGAGGTGCCGAAGTGAAGGCACCAGTCTGGTGGCCCGCCCTCCTTTGGACATTTTCAATCAGCTGACAGTCCCTGGCATATCTCGGGGACCAGACGGGGTGATAGTACTCCAGGCGGGGAAGCACTTCACTCCTGAAGATCGTTACGAGGGACGGATCATCTAGATATCTGAACGACATTCTTATAAGACCCAATAATTTAGGTGCTTGATTAACCTTCTTCTCACAATGGTCCGGGAACTTCAGTTCATTGTCACCATACACACCCAGGTCCTTTTCACACCCAGTCTCTATTAATGCACTTTCTTCGTCCCGTTGGGACATTATGATACGCCTCCTTCCCGTTGGTACGACCCAGGTGCATCCTCTTACACTTCGTGACAATGAATCTTAGCAGCCACTTCTTCGACTAGTCTTGAAGCTCACAGAGATCTTTCTGTAGCTCTTTGAAGTCTGCTTGGTTCTTAATTTCCCCGACATAATTAGTCATCGTCCGCAAACATTTTAATTGAGGAGTGTATAACTTCTGACATTCATTTATGAAACAAACAAACAACAACATGCCCAATACACTGCTCAGTGGTACCCCGCTTGTCAAGGGTGCACATGGCGATTTCGTACCATTAATCGCCACACACAGTGATTGCGATCATGCAGAAAGTCTCTGGTCCACGGTCAGACACTTCCCCGAATCCCGTAACCTCCCAGTTTAATTCTCAGCCTTTCATGTGGTACGCTGTCGAAAGCCTTGGCAAAATCAAGGTATAATGTCGATATTGCCACTGTTAGGATTAGATAATTACTTTTCTTCACCAAAGCTTCTCCAGGATCTGTCTAATTTGCAGACTGCTGCTACTGGAACAGTCAGGGGTAACAGGAAGGGATTATTTTATGGGTCAAGGGCATATTACTTCTTTTCTGGTAATTTTTTTAAACAAATCCCCTTTACTATCTTTCTGGAAATTATAATGCATTTGGGAGATAACTTTATATGCAAGCCAAAGTTAAAATTTTCTGAAAGGGGAGTCAAATTATACGAAGGATTTCTAATAAAGTTAAAAGAATATTTGATCAATCTGGAAAAGTGTACCAAGTTACATATTCATTTTCTACCATAAACGCACAGATATAAACAGAAACAGAAATCCTGACTGTCTCAGCATAAACTAAATAAAAGAAATGGGCATTTTACATTTTCAACTTATATTTGTAAGAGTCGGATATGTCGTAGCCTATATGAAAAATAAAAGGCTTTTATCAAGCACGAAGCCGACTTAGACTTAATATGCGACATAGTATACTGTCAAAATGTAACCAAATCGAACCAAAAGCTCTTGAGCTATCCCTGGAAGAATGGACTTTCATTTATAATTTTTTGTATATTTGCTGTCAAAGCACATGATAAACCAATGTTAATTCGTATGAAAATTTTACTGTGTTTTTGTTTAACTATGTTAGCAAAAGTTAGGTTAGGTTAGGTTACGTTGGTTAAGTGTGATTGGCTCGTTTTTGTTCATAAGTAATGGTTTTACCCAGAACCTGATAAAGGAATAATCCTCGCTATATGTACTACGTGCCTACCTTGAGGCCAAAGGTCTGCGTAAGGTCCGCTTATTGTTCTTGGTAGTCTTATGAAGGCTATTTGATTTTCAAAGCCCAGTATAATTTCTGCTCCCACCACCACCACCCACCTCTGTTGACAGACTGTTTGTATAAGTCTACCACTTTCAGCGTGAAGTATATCCATAATTTCGATCCACGGGACGATTTTGCTAGCTTCAATATATGACGTATTGTGTTGCGTCGCTTGACATTGTGAAGAAGCCGTTTAGGGCTACCTTCTTTATCCCCTTTATGCTTTCGAATGTCTCTATGAGGTCCACAGTGTCGTGTGTTGGTTGAAGGCTTGTTAGTCTCAGGGACCTCAACCTACTTGGATAACTGAAATGTCTAATTGTAGTCGCCCTGTGTTTCACTTTATCTTGTGATGTTACGTCTTTGGAGGTGTTGCCTGTATGCTTGTAAGGAGTAGGGCGGGTGGGGAAGTAAAGAGTAATCTGTGGAGCTTAATGAGTAGTTACTCTTTTTATTATTTATTCAGTTATGGGGTCTTGGCTCTCTTCCTTATTCTTAGGCACTATGTACACTCTGCATTTGTTTGTTTTTCATTTTTTTTCATTGGAGTTATTTTCTTTTGACGGTTCCTTAAGTGTCACTGATCATTCATATAGACTTCCTTCCTTCCTTGGTTTCCAGGGTACACATTTCTTAACGCTGCCTCAAGAATCTCTACAAGTTCTTGCTGAGACGCTTCGGTAGTAAGTAGTAGGCAGCTACCAAACAGGGAGGTACTACCGCCTGGGAAGATATTGGAAGCATATTGTGTTGTCTAATGGTAGACCCTGCTGCCATATGGCATCACGAAAATTGTGACCAAGTCCCAGGTTGCTGATCTGACTTTCTGTCTCATTTACACACAATTGCAGGATCTCAATTGTTTCTCGTACTTTGACAACACAACATACAGTATATATATTGTTTCTCACTCTTGATCTTTTTTATTTTTTTATTTCTTTAATATTATTATTATTATTATTATTATTATTATTATTATTATTATTATTATTATTATTATTATTATTATTATTATTATTATTATTATTGTTATTATTATTATTATTATTATTATTATTATTATTATTATTATTATATTTTCGCC